CCAACCGATATCCAGGACTAGACAGGAAGTTGAGGAGGGTGTAAGATCTTCAGCAAAATCGAGCATACAACCAATCGAGATATGGTTATCCAAGTTGTGAACTTCAAATAGCGTCTCTCCCTTTCTCACCTTTTGATTGAGATTGCAAAAACCGGTTGTAAATAAAGTATGTCCTGGTTGAACAGTTTAAATCTAAATTTAATTGACTAACTGCTTCGGACTACGCTCAAGCCATCCAATGATGTGCTCATTGAGCTTCTTTACGTGATTCTTTTCACAAGGCTTACCCTTAAAGCAATCACTCTAAGAATAACGCCAACTATCGAGTACAGATAAATACCACTAGATAAATGTGAGAGATAAAGTTCAGTTGAGCTTTTACAACAATTAACTATGGTCGTTCGTGAACCGGTTTTGGTTGCTCTGCATTTGGATAAAAGAGCAGAATGGAGATCGGAACATTAAGAGCAGACTCGAAGTGAAGATAGGGCATCCATATAGACTCGAGTTGCTAGAATAATGCGTAGACGCAGAAGCGCCACTGTTTGCGACATCCAGTAATATTAGTCATTGACTCTAACCATTGTTTACAATGATGTCAATGTCCCCATCCATGAAACATCACCCGACCTATATGACCAAGTTTCCTGTTAGTGTTTTCATACCCTCGCTCCGGGTCTTATTTTGACCGCCCTTGGTCTTTTGTTCCACCCACTGCCTGTCTCCGCAAACATCGCGCGCCATGATCACCTATTTGGTGACGTACACAACACATCCCTACCACCGTAGTCTATGGGGTCGATCACTGGCTTCAGTGGAGGACCACGATTACCTAAAATTGCCTTTAACCTCATTATTGTTTGTGCGGTTTCCCCACCAAACTTTGCAATGCAACGTAAACAACGGTGTTTGAACACCGACAATCTGTTTTAACACCGTTCCCCTAAAGGCCAAGTCTCTGCACCGTAGAGCAAACTCAAACTGAAACTGAGAGCAGGGTTAGCTTAGCTGCTGCAGCATATGCTCGATCCTGCACAGACAGGCGGATGTCGCGACGGTACCACAAATGTCTCAAGTTGACGAATGTTAATCGAGTTTTCTGTATGCATGTCGACACTTCATCTGCAAGGTGTCCTTCAGGTGTGAGATACAGCTTCTCAAATGGCAAATTTTGTCTACTATCTCTACTACTTCTTGAGTTAGAGTGCGATTGGGATCTGAGCAACATTTCATATTTTGAAAGTGCAAAACACATACCGAAAATGGCTACGCTAACATTCAAACTACCCAGAAAAGCTTGCAACTTACCCCGATCTTCACTTAGCGGCACAATGTCGTCTGCATACTACAGATCAGACATACTAGCACCTGGGAGCAAATCAGTAGCTTTGAATGCTGAATCGCCTGATGCATGGCTGAGGATGGATCTGGAGATCGCAGGGTNGACTGAAGTGGGGTCCTCTGTGCCTATTGCGGAGACACAACACAACTAAATTGAAAGTTTCAAGGGTTATGGTCAAGGCAGCTTGTTGATCTATCTAATAGTGTACCGGTTTAGTGAAAAGGTGGTTTCTGAGGCACGGAAGTCATCCCATCTTGTCCAGATGTAGTCTCGTGATGATGAGAGTTCCAGTGAGGGCATCATCTCTAAAGTCCTAGTCTTTTGTATGCATTGATTCTTTCTATTTGTTAGGTTTCGTCAACTTCCTCATGCACTTGTGGGTTTAAGAAGCTCCAAAGGTATACATTAACGGCTGGCAGCGTTCGAAGATATCTACTCTTGAGCGATTAGAATAACTACCGCTTGCTTCAACGACTGAATAAAATATTCCATTCGTTTGTAGTCGCGTCCACTTTATAACAATGGTTCTGTGCACATGAACAACATGATCATTACCAAAAATTCACCAATCTTGATGTTTCTTTTCACGCAAATGTTTTCCGTCTCTGGGATATTGATGTACCTTTGTTTACCGTTTACACAAAAGGCGTCATCCATCTGAAAATCGGCGGATGGTGTGTGATGTGGAGGCAATGACGTTTGCGCAGAGTTTGGTTCTGTTTGAATTACCCCCATATTGATAGAGTGAACTTCACTAGACGTCTCCCTATGTGTAGTGAGATTTTCGTTTACAACTTCACCTTGCATATTCAGATTGATAGACCCAAAATATTGCTCATCAAGCTCTGTATACTAAAATAAACACCGCGCAGTTTTAGTCCACTTTGATGAAATTTCCCATTTTCATCTGTGAAGAACACACCTAAACAATGTTCGGCCTGTCATCAATCTATACACATCACCCCAAACAAGTTTTCTTCGTAGGTTTTCATGCAGAAGCTGGCTGATGCTTCTTTGTTCTTTTGTGGTGTAAATCAACTTTTTATTCATCTTAGTTAATCGTCGACTCCATTTTCCCCCTTAGCTGTACAAGAGGAGGCTCGTCTATCACAGACAAAAGGCAGCAATGGAGCCCCAAACCATACTTCCCCAGACGACCTGTTTACCGAATTGCGAACCACCGAAGTAGCCAAATATCAAACCGAACTTGCCCAGCTGGAATCGGAAAAGAAAGAACTAAATCGGCTGTTGGAAGAGACTCAGCGGTCATTGGAGGTGGCTAACAGCGAGGCGTCAAGCAAACAGGAGCGAATTAATGGTCTTTTGGCTCAGCTGGATGCCATCATGTCGGTGCGTTCAGAAGCCGATGATGAGTTCGAACGTAACCAAGCCGAAAACGAATCTCCCACTTCTGATATACCAATTCCATACGGACCAAATGGCAAGGATATCATGGCAGAGTCCTCCATTTCCGTACTACAAATAGATGAGAACGATGACCATGAGAATAGCTTTCGCAATAAACTTGTCCTTAAGCGACTCAGGAAAGCACTAAGACAGAGCGAGAATCGTTATTCTGTTGCACTTCGTCAAATTACTAGTATGCAGCATGATTTGTGGAGGTATCATGAACGTGAGAAGCTGAACAGTCGCCCAGAGTTAGCAACTGAAGAGGGACTAAAATTAGAGTTGATCAAACTTCAAGGAGATCTTGATACGCGTTCGGAAGAGATAAGAAATCTGAAGAATCAGTTATCCACCAGTCATGCAAGTTCTCGTTCAACAGATGATAAGCTGCACCAATTTTCGAAGGATGTGTCTCGTTCACTCAATATCTTGTTAGAATCTTACTCTTTGGTCTGCTCTGCAATGAATGAAGATCCGGTGAAGCAGGTAAGAAACACATTCGAGTGATTCCAAAGTTTCATATAACTGCCTGTGGATACTTATACATGTTTAAAATGAAAATCAACACTACCAATGAGATCATCCCATTTGATTCCAACATAACAATCAGTTTTTCACTTTTGCAGCGGAGGACCTAGTTCTTGTCCAGCCATAAGTAAAAGTGAAAAATCTGTTGTTTTCCCAACTGTTCTCCATCTTTCTACATTATATATATATATATATATATATATATGACAGTTTGGTAAACAACGATGTTGATTGTTGTTTTTGTAGCTCGGGTGGTATAATGTGATGTTCAGTTGTTCGCCGAGCTTGGCAATTGTATTGCAAACGTTTCATCACCAATCGAGGTGCCATTCTCAATGCAGTAACTGGGTGAGCGCTTACGAGTGTCCTCTTCCTTATATAGGTCAT